TGAATTTCAAAATATCAAATTCTCCTAAAAATCTAACTCCTAAGTTCTAGTCAACAATTAATTTTAGTTACATATTTAATGGAATCTACGACTTTTTAATTATGCATTTCATCAATTTTCATCAAAATCTACTAAATAATTGATTTTTATTCAGTAGTTAACGGAAAAATATCCCTATTGTTTGCGCTCATTGCAAAAATTAGTCCCTATCATTTCAAACTTGGCATTTGCACCTTCATTTCAAACATTTCTTGCAAAGTTAATCCTTTTTATCATGCTTCATTAAATCTTTCCATGAAATATGTGTAATTGATGCAAAACATCTTTATCGTTTTCCTCCATTGCTCAAATCATTTCTATCATTTTAATTTTGACATTTGGACACTCAAATTTGACATTTCTTTGTACAAAAGGTTCTTACCATCTATTTTCTTCATTAAACTATTGTAAAATGACTAATTTACCATCTTTTTTAAATAAATGAATAGAAAAGAAAGAAATAATATAAAAAAAAAAATTGCGTATAAAGTTTCAAATTTTTTAGAAAGTATAAATGAAGCTCACATTAAACAATTTAAAACATTCTAACAATAGAAAAATATCTTATCCTCCCAATGAACACCCATGTGCCCATCATCACAACCACCACAACGCTATATATATTTATTTATTTATTTTAGTTCGTCCTATTGCACTAGCCTGTGTTTCTTTCTAGAATGATAAAATCGAGGGCTTTATAAATGATGTTGAAGAAGAAAAAAGAGAAACAATATCACTTAAGGTGCGTCATAAAATGTCGAGGATCCATTTGGTAGGTTTTTGCTTTTACTTTCATTTTCTATAGTAGAGTTTCGTGAGATAATTACTCTAGGCAAACTTACTCAAAAAGCGCTTCTAGTAAGAAAAAGCACTTTTACAAATTTATTCAAATATGTTCAAAGTATATTTTTAATCTCAAAAGTAGATTTTGACTTTTCAAAATTTTTGCAAATAAGCTTCTCACTCTTCGTGAATAATCCAGACATTGAGGATATCTAGAAAGACATTATGGAAATCGGTCTGATTCTATCTATGTTACTTCCGCTTAAGAAAATAATGATCGGATATATAATTAACGTCCTAGTTAAATTTTGTAAATTTAGCTTCTAAAAGAATAAGAATTAGAGTATCAATGTAGGCAAATAAATGATACTTTTCATGTTTTTCTTTCTGCATGTTAATCACAATAATGAAGCATTTAAAACCCAATCGAGGTTTCGTCGTGATCGGAGATGAAAATCACCAGCATAAGCATCAATGATTATAAACTACATGTGAGAATTTTACTTAAGATTGAGATGGACAGAGCCAAATCGGTCTAAAATTTGAAATTGGGGTGGACAATAAATATTTTATTTGTCTGTTTTAATATCTATTCTCGATTCTAATTACCTATTTTTCATTATTCTAACTATTACTACTATTTTTAACATTTTTGCATCACTAACTAAACTTTTGAGTATTTTTCCTCAACTCTTGTCTAAGCAATATGTTGGAAAATCATATTCGGGCATTTAGAAATTTTACTTTAAATGATAAATGCAACACCAATCCTAACTATTTTCCCCCCATTTTGCACCAAATATTTGGGGCTATGTCACTCCATCCAAACACCAAATTTGATAAAAGTCATTCTTTTTTTCTCATTTAGTCCCCGTTTGACTCCCATTTTGTAGTAATGAAAATGGGTGGAATAGAGTTTTTTTTAAAAATAAGTGATTGAAAAGTTTTCGATTTACGTGTAATATTATTTTATGGAAGATTGTGTGGTTAAAAATAAGAGTAAGAAAAATGAAATGTAATGGAATGAAAATTAACAGGGGCCAAACGAGGGTTTAGCACAAAATGATATCAAGGGTGTTTGTATCATTTTACATTATACATAAATTTTAATTCTTAATCTATTAATTGTTATTATTTTTATTATTAGTAATAATTTTAATCATGTAATCAATAATAATTGGGGAATGAATTAAATCCCTTGTTTGGCATTTGATTTAAATCAGATTTTAATAAGTCTAAGTCAAATAATCAATATTAATTATATCTTTTATGAGTCTTACAACATTTCAATCACTCATTTAATTTTATTTTTTTACCAAAATCTACTAAAAATTTAATTTTAATCTCCACCAAATAGGGGTAAAATAAAAGTACACAAAAAGTTTTAAAATGCAACAAACATGATTTAATATTATCTTAGTCGTAGTATTTTTATAAACTGTATTACATTTTTAAAATTTATTAACGAATTTAACATTTTCGTAAACAAAACGTAATTTTTTATTTGGGTAATTTATATAGTAGTAAATTAAATAAATAAATAATCTTTCTACTATATATAGTGTTAAGAATAAAAAACGAAGAAAATGAGTAAATACTGTTGGTTTGGTACAACTTTTGATGTAATGAGTTTAAAGATGATTTTGAGTTTAATACAATTTTTAGTGTAAATTTTGATACAAAATAATTTAAAATTTGATGTAAGATTGTAAATGGCCTAAAAGTAGCACATACTTCGACAAGATATAGCTTCTCAAAAGTGAAATTGCATAAATCCTCCAAAAAAAAAAAAGAGGTATGACTAGGGCTAGGCAAATCTCCCGAACCGAACCGAACCCGACGGTTCTTGTCAAATTAAATACCGAAGGAGTATTTGAATTGAGAACCGACGGGTACGGTTCAGTTCTCGGTTCTAGACCAAGAACCAAAAAATCGAATAAGAACCGAATATTTCTAATTTTTTTTATATTGAGTAAATCAAATTATTTTAATTTTAATTTTTTCTAAACAAATTAACAAATTAACGATTTCTAAATCCAAATTTTTGGCCCAATAATTTGTTTCATTTCTAATGTTTTAATTTTTGGCCCAATTACCCATTTTATTATTTCATTTCTTAGCCAACCAAGATCAAATCCACTAAATAACCCTAAACACCAACACTAAAGTGTACAACGTTGTCTTGAATCTCGCACTCACTCTTACAGCCTCGCTAATATTCCAAAACCTATACAATTATCGGCCGACACTGTGACCTTCGATCGAAACTGTGACCTTCGCCAACCGAAACTTTGATCGTAACGATCATTTAAACAAGGTAGTTTACTAGTCTCTAACATTCCAAAACCATTGAATGTATCATTAGTTGTATTTATATAATGTTGTTATGAATGTTAAAAAATTTAATTATAGTACAGAACCGAACCCGAACGGTTCCATAATTATATTTGGACCCGACGGTTTCATTTACTAGATACCCGAAAAGTTCGGTTCGGTTCGGTTCTCTTTAGAACCGAACCGAACCGACCCGCGCTCACCCCTAGGTATGGCCTCCATTCCATTTCTCTCTCTCTTATTTTCAACCACACAATCATTCATAAAATAATATTATACGTAATATCGAAAAATTTTCCTTCTTTTTCAACTATTCATTTTCCAAAAAATACTACTCTACTAATTTTTATGAGAAAATTACCTAGAAACCTACTTTTAAACAATAGTTTTCAGAAATAAAGGGAATTAATTTTCATTTCATAAATCAGGTGGTAATTAGAAATTATTAAATTAATTAATACATAGTTAATAATAGAAAATGTTTTATATCTTCCCCCAACCAAAACCACCCACCACTCAAATTAAACTCTCTCTCTCTTCTTCCTCTCCTGCGTCTTCCAGGATTGATAAAAATGGAAGATTTCTAAATTACAAATTTCAGAAATTTCAAAGTCAGGCGCCATTGATGGGACCCATCACGACAAATCTGCACCTATAACTTCACCACCCCCATCCTGTCACTACTACAGCCATGGGTTTCTATCAATCAAACCAAAATTTTGATTCGATTGTGTGCGCCTGTTCTTCTAATTTTGATTTAATTGGTTGGTGTTTTTTGAAGGTGTTGGTGGAAGTTATGGTAGTGATGATTGTTGTTATGGATTTGAGTTAAAGATGTTAGTAATGGTGGTGGTAATTATTTTTTCGAGCAGATCTGTTGTTGAAGATCTGGTTTTTCTGTTCGAGATTTGGTTTTGACTATTTGTGACCTATTTTGTTTTAATTGTGACCGGTTGTGACTTGAGATTGATCTGGTCACAGACAGTCACATTGAATACAAACTTGGTCACAAACCCCGTATCAATTTACCCCAGATCTTGTATCAATTTTTAACCCACACACTCTATTTCTTCCCCCAAAAATTAGGTCGGCACTCTCTTACCCAAAAATTAGATCTAAGACTTCTTTCCCATCCATCCTCTAGATTCCGACCACCTACCACATTTCTCATCGGAGTTTCACAAGAGAAGTGTGGTGGTGCTGGTTGGTGTTTTTGAAGGATTGGTGGAAGTTTTGGTAGTGATGATTGTTGTGGATTTGAGGTGAATATAGTGTTTATGGTCATCAATTTGAGTTAAAAATGTTAGTAGTAGTGGTGGTTATTATTTTTCCGAACAGATCTGCTGTGGTGATTGGAGAGCTGGTTTTTTCTGTTCGAAATCTGGTTGTGACTATTTGTGACCAATTTTGTATTGATTGTGAACGGGTGTGACTTGAGATTGATCTAGTCACATAAAGTCACAATGAATACAAATTTGGCCACAATTAGTCACATCGAAGGCAAAGTTGGTCACGGTGATTCTCAGATAACAAAAGTCAGTGAATTGGTCACATCGATGAAGGAGAGAATCGGGTAAAGGATTTGAGAGAATGTGGGGTGGGGTGGGGTGGGGTGGGTGGGGTGGAGAAAGAGTAAGAAGGTTTGATGTGATGGGTGAGTGGGGTTGGAGGTGAGGTGGGGTGGATAAGTAAATTAATTGTACTATATTATAATTAATATTTAGTAAATTTAATTATCACCTGATTTTTGAAAGAATTTTAGAAATTTGTTAATTTTGAAATGTGATTTTTAAATGGAGGATTTACGTGGTCATCCCAATTTTTATTTCAAGAAAAAATGGGCTTGTAATCCACAGACCACACACTGTACATTTCAAACGGATAACTGTTTGAGGGCTCGAACTAACGGCCGGCAATGGCTACTTCTCTCACTCTCAAGCTTACCACTGCCAGCACTCTCTCTCGCTTTCACAGTACCAAATTCACAAAACCCAGAAATCTTACAACCAAAATCCGATGCATAGGATGGGTATGTCCCCCACAAACACTGGATGTTTGATTTATTGTTTGTTTAAGATGATTTCGGACTTGTTTGACATGTTTAATTTGTGAAGGAAGGACCCAGAAGGAATATTGAGAGCACCCCAAACCGGGCACCTAGCAAAACTGGAATTCAAGAGGCGCCTTGAGAAAGACGCTGAGGCAAAGGAAGCCTTCGAACGCCATGTCCGAGAAGAAAAAGAGCGCCGACGAGCTCTTCGAGAGGTTGGCAACACAAATTACTTAATAATATTGATCGATGAACTACTCTCTTTTACTCGAGTTTATTCTGGCATCCAATTCAAAAGTTTTGATGACTTGAAATAAGTAAAAAAAGTAAATTTTTTTTTTTTATAAAAAGTAAGTTATCTAACACATTTAAGGGGAAAAAATCGCTTTAAGAGTAATTTTTACATCATTTGAGCTTAACCAAACATGATTGTACGGCATTTTGATGTTGGCATCAGTCTCGGGTGATACCGGATACTGCGGCCGAGCTGGTGGAGTATTTTCTTGATACTGAAGCTCAGGAGATTGAATTTGAGATTGCAAGAATGAGGCCTCGGTTAGTCCTTTTTTCATACACCGTGTGATAATAATTTGCCCAGTTGCTTTTATCAGGCATATTTTATTCAGATCTAGTGAACTTTTCCTTTTGTATCATCTATGGCCATAACTTTTGGAGATGGATATACTAGCCACAGGGCTCGTATACAATGTCGGACAAAGTTACAGATATATGCTTCACAGAAACAGAGATCTGTTTAAAAATGTTTTCATTTTGGACATAGATGCATGAACACACCAGTCATAATAATAGACATTTTAACACAAACTAGACAATACAGAATACTTTGTCAGTCTGTTGGAGTTGTGTTATAGTGTTAGGCAACTAGTACTAGTTAGAAAGTGACGCCTGTCTGCAAAAGATTAGACACGTGTTGAGTGTTGGATTACATTGTTTCAGGCATATATATGGCATCGTACACGAGAATACCGAAAGCATGAATTCCTTTGGGAAGATGGTGAGATGTGATGTTGTAGGTAGTGATGATGATGATGATGAAGATTGAGTTTTCACCATTAATTTTAGTCTTCATCTCAATTTAGTTTTGATAAATATAGAGTCTTCATCATTTATTTTAGTCATTATTTTTAATTTTAGTGCATGTTTGAGCCCCATTTTATTGTAAAAATGCATTTTGAAATAATAGATTGATAGAGAATGTGTGGTTAAAAAATAAAGAAAAATTTTCGGTTTACGTATAATATTATTTTATTCAATAATGTGTGGTTGAAAAAAGAGAGAAAAATATATTTTGAAAAATATGAAGATCAAACGAGGGCTTAGTCTTTATCTACATTTAGTATTTATCTAATTTTTAGTTATTGCTTTAAACAAGGGTTGTAAGCCTTAGCAACAATTAGTGATTTTTGAATTGAAATAAAATAGATTTGGGAGTTTGCAATCTCTTAAATTCTCATAATTCGATATTTAAAAATCAACAAGTCCAAATTTTTTGTATTCATACGTGAATCAAAGAGTTTTTGATGTCTAGATTTATGGTATTCTTAGGAATGAATAGAATCTGGAAGGTGATCATATTGCAACATTCATTCGGAGTCAACGGAACTTCGATAACGTGTTCATCACATTATTTTAACGCTTCCGCCCTGACATAGTGGGGTTCGTTCTTAATAGAAACAAGCTGGTGTTCCTGGAATCTAATGACAAAATGATGCAGCACCAACCGGATGATTAATAGAAACAAAAGAAAGATTTAGAAAGAATGGGAAATTAAAGGAGGGGATAGAAGAAGAATTCAATTAAAGAAGGGGAGAGATGCGCCATAAGCCACCAAAATAATTATTCATTCATCATCAACTGAAAATTACATTGCAAAATAGGTTTAAATAGTAAAGCAATCCTAACGAACTTGGGCCCGAGCCCATACAAGTCCAAATTTAAATAATAGTCCAAGAAAATAAGTAAAGCTTAAATAAAATAAGTAAACGTCGTCCGATGTCCTCATCAACTCTCCCGGGGTGGGAGAAAAACTCGACCCTGTCGAGTTGATAAATCGTATAGGCTGCAGTCAATCTGATACTCCAAATGCTTCAAGTCAAGCCACGGGGGACGATCTTTCTGACGAACCAAGTAACGAAATTCCATAATTGATAGTACTGAAAACTGTAGCTTATTCCCAAAAATATGATCTGACCAAGGGGGCCGATCTTTCCTTCTAACCAAGTACTGATACTGGACTTCAAATAACCAATACTCATGCACCTCATCTTCAACATTTTCACATGATTGTACATAATAAGGAACATAAGAAGTACGTCGATCTACCCAACAAACAAGGAAGTACTGAATTTTGCCATCATTGGTCAATACAACACGTTCATCTAAAATAACACCAATTTTATCTTTGTGTGCTATGATAGATGGTATTAAAGTAGAAATATCAATATAGTCAAATTGGGGGTCCACAAAGTTAGGTAGAAATGGATCATCAAAGGAAGTAATACGGTATTTGTAAGTAATGAAGTCCTCAATATTTAAAGCAAAGTGGTGGCTAAAATGTGATGAAAGGGCAATGGCATGTGCATTTGAACCGACATGCTTTAAAATTTTTAAAGGACCAACACTACAAGCTTACAATATGACATAATCTCCAATATTAAATTCAAAATATGGTTTATGCGAATCAGTTTGAAGTTTATATAATGCATTACTTGCGTCATGTTATTTATTGATCTCAATATGCAAGTCATGAAGATGATATAAAAATGCTTCAGCTGACAACGACACACTAGCATGCAGGGACATGGGAATAAGATCTAACGGTCGCCTAGACTTATAATTATGAACAACTTCAAATGGATTTAGACCTAGAGACCGATTCATAGAATTGTTATATGCGATGTGAACAGTTGGGGGGATCGAGTCCCAATTCTCAAGGTTTTTCTGGACTAGAGACTGTAATAAATTGCCAAAACTTCGGTTAACAATTTCGTTTTGACCATCAGTTTGACGTTGGTCAGTAGTGGAGAATTTTGATTTAGTGCTAAGAACAAGGGACTGGATTCTCCAAGGGTGACTAGTGAAATCATCAAACTCTTTGAGTTGGGTAAGGGTACGACATATAACATGTGATCGAGAGTTGTCGGAAACAAGGGGTATAGTTTCTAAAGTCTCGGGAAGGGTCGGGAATCCACTTAAGGAAGTGTCCTCACTATAATCATCAAAATCTTCAAGTTTAGGGCCATATGCTAGATCTTCTAACGACTCTTCTATTGCATTCTTTCGTTCTTCTATGACTAAGGCTCGGTTAGGACATTTGAAAGAGATGTGACCAAAGTCTTTACAGCTGATGCATAGCAAGTGAGAATTCTTTGGAATTTCACAAATTATACCCTTATTTTCCAAAATTGGAGGAACTTTAGATGGGGGAGGTCCTAGAAGGGACTTAACAGGAGGAAATGGAGCCACATTAGATGAGGGAGGTCCTAAAAGGGACTTAACAGAAGGAAGTGGAGCCAATGAAACCGAAAGATGATTGTCATTACACTTTCTACATGAAGAAGACGACCTTGGGCTATCATGACCTTTACACTTGTTTTTCCAAAGGGAAGGAACACTAGACTGGGAAGGCTCTATGATAGACTTATGATGAGATGACGCTAATGAAATGGGTGAACGATGGCTATCACGCTTTTTATATGCAGTACTGATAAGTAACTCGTAGTCCCGAGCTAAAGAGTAAGCTTGATCAAGAGTAGTGATGCCTCGAAAGAAAAGCTCACCCCTAAGTTCATTTCGTAGACCTTGTATAAACCTACTTAAAGTCAGGGCCTCATCCTCAACGACATGACATTTCACTCGAAATTCCTCAAATTGAGCAATGTACTTAGTTACTAGCCGATTCTCTTGTGTAAGGATGTTCCATTGGGTAAAAATTTCATGATCTAAGCAACCATCGAAAGTAGGAATATCTAAGTCAATGTCTCTAAAGAAACGCTCCTTACGACGAGGAAGAGAATGAGTACCATGACGATCATGGCCTTGTTCTCGCTCACGAACTGATCCCTATTCCTACGATCGCGTCGAAAATATTCTTGATCACTTTGTCCACGATGATATTGTCTATTATGAGATGATTCAGAATTAGTGTCAATCAAACTAGGGATTCGCTTAAAATTGCTCAACTTAGCAGCTAGGGTCTTTCTCTCCTCATGAGCAGCAGTTATATCTGATTGGACAGTCGATAGACTAGTGGAAAGTTGTGCTAATTGTGTAGTGAGTGCATCAAATTGGGATGGATCCATGGTCAATGTATTGGAAATAGAGACGACAAGACGACCACTACGTAATTACATGCAATGTAATACCAGCTAAATGATGTGCTATGATGAGATCAGTGAACAATACGTGCAAGCAATGAAAAATAACTTGTACCAATTTTTTTATTTAATTTTAAATATTGGGATTAATTAAATCCAAAACAAGCTAATACTGCCGATACATGTAAAATGGCAAAGCAAGGGTCAAACACACTAGTCAAATTCTCCAATCAATTTAAGTGGGGAACAATGGAAGTCAATTCGGTCACTGGTGTCAATTCGATTAATGGTTTCGATCAAGTGGGGTTTAAGGCTAAAATTATCACGATAACAGCAGCACAAGATTTTAATTGATGCAATTTTAAAAATAAAACAGTAGTATAAACCAATACTAAATAAAGATCAAGGACTCCCTGTTGGTTAGTTTTGATTATTTGTATGCCAATTGATCTGAATTGTCGACTTATGAGCCCCAACTATGCTTCTGTTCTTCCCTTCGTATCCAATGGTTTTAGCCTCTGTAGACTGTAACTTGTGCTAGTTCTGGTGTGGACGTAAAACTGTGTGTAGTGACTGTGGCTTTTAGATTGTTGAGATGGACAAGGAAATATATGAGTGTGGTAATTGTGGTGGAAGTGTATGATCTTGGGTTGGTGGTGGTGGCCTATGGCGATGAAGTGGTAGTGCTCTGGATGCTTGGGTACAATAGATAATGAAGTGGTGGCGTGATGGTGATTAGAGGCGGCAGCGGCAAGAGAGTGGTTATGAGAGAAAAATCGGGTGAAACTGTGGAGTATTTGATGTTAATGGATTGGTTATAATCGGGTTTGGTTGGATATTTGGGACTGATCATGAGTTGAATGGTGTTGGGCCGATTGTGATAATATGTGATAAGTGGGTTGGATTTAGTGTTTATTGGGCTGAAAAGCAAGTGGATTGACTAAATAGATGATGAGAGATGGGCTGTGCGTTTAGTGGGCTTTGGGAGTAATTTGGGCTACTAGCTTATGGCCCAAGTGTTTTGATAAAAAAATGAATGGAGTAGGTTATAGAGATGGAATATATGGGCTGAAGGGTTAAGTGGGCTTGAATGCTAGGGTTTGAGATTTATGGAACAACACCACAATTATTTTTTTTTATTTATGAGTAGTAGGGAAAAAATGAGATTTTTTTTTTTTTTTTGGTGTGAACAGTAACCTTTTTTTTTTTTGGAAGCTGATAATACAAAAAAATGAATTTTCAGGTGTGAATAGTACCCGTGAACAGTAACGCGATTTCTTTTTTTTTTTTTTTTTGGTGTGAACAGTAACCTTTTTTTTTTTTGGAAGCTGATAATACAAAAAAATGAATTTTCAGGTGTGAATAGTACCCGTGAACAGTAACGCGATTTCTTTTTTTTTTTTTTTTTGGAACAACTATGAAGAAGCTGAAAAATAATAACTTGACTGCTCATGCTAAAAGTTTATTTGTTTGTGCTGTTCCACAAGTTCTTAGGAAAGAAATAGAAAGAGATTTTTGGATTGGAGATGAGAGATTACCCAAATTTAGGCTCTAATACCAAATTTGATGCAACACCAACAGGATGATTAATAGAAACAGAAGAAAGATTCAAAAAGAATGAGGAATTAAGGGAGGGGATAGAAGAAGAATTCAATAGAAGAAGAATTCAATAGAAGAAGGGGAGAGATGCGCCATAAGCCACCAAAATAATTATTCATTCATCATCAACTGAAAATTACAATGCAAAATAGGTTTAAATAGTAAAGCAACCCTAACGAGCTTGGGGCCGAGCCCATACAAATCCAAATTTAAATAATAGTCCAAAAAAATAAATAAAGCTTAAATAAAATAAGTAAACGTCGTCCGATGTCCTCATTACAAAAGTTCTGTTTGGGGACAAATTCCTTTCTACTCATTTCGGTAGTTCAATGGTCGAAGAATCTTTGAATTTCAATTACGAAGGTTTTCCAATCTTCGACAAAGAAATTAAAGAATTAGTGGATTTGGGTAATGACAATTACGATGGGTCTCCAATTTCGATGAAGAGATTCAAGAGTTCTTCGAATTGGATAATAGCAAATTCAATAATGTTCCAATTTTTTATAACGTGTCACATCTTGAAATCTTTGAAGAATTTTCCAAGAAATTCAGAAAAAGAAAAATTTAGCCCTTGTTTAAGCCCCAATATGGTAAAGAAGTGTATTATGGAATGGTGATTTGTTGGAGAATGAGGATAAAAAGTAAGGAAAAGTTTTCGATTTAAGTGTAAAATTATTTTATGGAAGAATGTAAGGTTGAAAATGAGGGCCAAACACGGCTCAATATCATAGCTATAGCTGCCAAGAATCCATGCTTTTGGTTAAGGTCGTGTCTATGCGCGATGGCTAATTTTGGGAAGGAGGCGATAACCATGTCTTAGATTTTGAAACACTTGCTTTTCTATTTTGATATTGAAGAAATTTGGATGATTGAGCATGGAATTGCTATTCATGTTCTGTTAGATATGCAACTTTTAGTGAAATTGAATGAAGTAGCTAATCAACATTTCGTAGAGCTAACAAATAGATAGTCTTTGTCACAAGGAATCGGATGAAGAATATAGTTCAAGATTCAAGGACGAATCTTCATCAATCGGAGGAGAATGATGAAGATTGAGTCTTTATCGTTAATTTTTGTCTTTATCTACATTTAGTCTTGATGAAGGATCGAGTCTTCATTATTAATTTTTGTTATTATTTTCAATTTTTGTCTTTATCTAGTTTTTAGTTATTATTATTATTATTTTTTCAATAAGGGTCGTAAGCCTAAATGGCAGTTAGTGGTTTTTAAATTGAAATAAAATAGATTTTAGAGTTTTTCAATCTCTTAAATTCTCAATATTTGATATTTAAAAACCAACAAGTCCAAATTCTTTGTATCATTGTGCTAATCAAAGAGTTTTTGACGCCTAGGTTTCTAGTAATCTTAGGAATCAACTAAATTTGGAAGGTGGTGGTGTGACGGTATTCTTTTGGAATCAACAAAACTTCGTTTGTTTTCGTTCATCGTTTCTTATTTCTCGCTTCCGCCACCCTAATCAGATGATCAATGCTTTGCTATAGAACTAACATGCAACTTGGTTTAAATAATGAGAAGCGGGTCGAAAGGAGCAAGATTTGCCTCTAGGTTGGTGATAGGTTTGCTTCATCAACAAAAATAAATACATTCACAATAATAAGAAGCCTATTATTAACTGAAAAGGAGCCAAATTATAGGCAAATGGAGGACTAACCTCCTATTGGATGTGCGACTTTCAAGAAACTTGATCCTACGAAAAATTTAGTTTGTATTATCTTTCTGAAACCCGACTTCTCTCTTTCAAGCTTAAGGTGGCTAGATGGAGCTAGCATGCTTTTAAAAATTAGTATTTAGAATTGTGCAAATGGATGTGCCTTTTATAGGTCGAGTCTTGAGTACTTGACCAATTCTCAATGTGTGCAGAGATTCACCTTGGTGAAGATCTTAGCACTAGAATGATCATGAAGGATTAACAAAGTTTAGGAGGGTAAGCCTACTATAAGTAATCCATAACTGTATGTGATGATTTTAAAGAATCCAATGAATGCCCATAGGAAGTAAAAGAGATCTTTTTGAGCTGCCGTTGTCACACATATGAGATAGAGTTGAAGAAATCCCCTATGAGCTAAATATCTTAAAGGTGTTGAGTAGATTTTCAAATAAACTGTAAAGGACTAAATGATTGGAACACCTCATGATGGAGATTAAGGAATCCCTTGTGAGCTAGGAATTGAGATACTTTCAAAAGAACTGAAGAATCAGCTTCTAATTGCTATTTATACACAAGGAATCCAGGTCATACTTTTTTTGAGTTCCTTGTACGAAATGGAGATGTAAAAGGTTCACTTCATTTCTTGTCCTCTCTACTGCCTTAGAACCCTCTTAAAGAGGTGGTAAAGGTCTAAGCTCTATGTATCTGAATATATGGAGTTTAGCATGACCTTATTTCATAGACTTAAAAAAGGGACCTCAGTAGTTGCATGGCAGTGTTCTATAAGATGCTTGATTGTAAATTGTAAGAAAGTGGTTGGTTTACTGCAAAGGGACCAGTACATAGACCTACTTATGTTATACAAGAAAGGTGCAATAAAGGTCTAATGCATGTTCTCTTTATTTTCAAATAATTATATTGTGTTATTTTAATTTAAAAATGTAATTGTACTAGTTTCCAATTAGAGATGACCAACAGAGTCCATTTGATTGGGCCCTTTTTTCCCATTTATAAATGTCCAGAGGAGCAAGTGGATCAAACACAAACCTCATGAGGAAAAGTAAATTTATTCCCATTTAGAATAAGCATTGGATGAATAATCTATGAAATGTTCAAAATTTTGTTCTTTTTGAAATAATGCTTGCAACTTATTGAAAGCTTGCTGTTTCATAAATATAAGTGTTCCATTTGTACTGTCTTTGTACATAATGAGGGACGAATATCATACTATAACATCATTACAAGAGAACCATGCAGATTGAATGAGGAATTTTTCTCGCACCTGAAAGGTGAACTTGGGAAACTGAGGTTTGCCGTGTCAAAGACTCAGGTTTGTCTTTATAATTTTTTGACTCGGTTTCTGTACGATGAATGAGAAGAAGCAAGCATCTGCAGTGATTTTGTTTGTAGGAAATGGAAGACAGATTGATAGAATTGGAAGCACTCCAAAAGGCTTTGCAGGAAGGAACAGGTTTTGTCAAACACCCTAAATTTTTCAGCCAAAATATTTCTGTTACAATTTGTACTCTATAAGACCCCAACCTATGTCGTTCTCTGCAGAAGCCTATGATAAAATGCAAGATGAACTCGTAAATGCGAGGAAGAACTTAATGAAAATTTTGACATCGGATAATGTCAAGACTACCGTATGATACTTTTCTTAGCTCGTTACATCATAGTATTGTGTTTCCTGATTTTCCTTTGGTCACTCGGCGCTGGTTTGTATGCAATGCAGCTATTGGAAATGGTTGAGCAGAATGAGTTGAATAGATCCTTGTTGACACTTCTTGATGAAAATATTGCGAATGCATATCATGCTAACCAGGTGAGAGAAGTCAAATGTTTTTCTATCTGATCCAGATGAATTTTCTAGAGTTGTTTTCTTTATTTATATTATTAATTGGTTTTGTATCACGAAATCTTTTGAAAAAAATAAAGAATAATATATCTTCTCAAATTTAGAGTGAAGTTAGAAAGAGGGGTTAACATATTCCGCCTGTTACATAATTTGGTAAAAAAAATTTCAAATTCCTGATGCTGCAATCAGTGGACCAATAACAAACATATTGATAAGTTGGTGTCCGCTAGAAGCATTCTCTTTATATTTCTAAAGGTTAAATTGGAGGACTGCAGACTTCAACTGCTTTTCTAGATCCTAGGCAAGCAACCTCGCCTAGTGCCTGTAAAAGGAAGGGTAAGGAGGAAGGTATCGAGCTCTTTCTTTCAGGCATAGGATTCTCTCAAAACTTTGGGCAGTACCGGAAGGGAAACAGGATATATTAACTTAGCATTTTATCATCATAACGTAAATGTTTATATTTTTCTCAGTCCTTTCTAACAATCCTTCCTCCAACTTATCGGAAATTAGTAGGATTGAGACTGCATGCATGAAAGATCAAGTGACCCCCTAGCGTTCCTCGGCACCTCATCGTCCTATAAACTGGGCAGTAAAGTCTTTTAACTTCATCTAATTCTTAATAAATAGTATTCGTCCATAAGCTTAATAATAGGCGCTTTCCCCTGCCCATTTGTACACCATATGTAAACATCTCTTTATAAACCTGACATTCTTTTTCAGCCTTTGAGCAGCCAAGCTTCTGTTTTTGCTCCTAGGTTCCTGGTTTTAAGATCACAATTCATAGCTCATATAATATCACGCATAAGACTGAAATGACAATTTACTGTCGAATGCAATATATTTTTCTCACAAAGAAAGGTCTCAAAGGGATGGGTGATTACTTTTAAAAAATCGAAGTATATGCAGAAGTGAAAAAAAATATACATATTAAATTGATGTTCTCCTCTTATGGTTTACTTAGTGTTGTCTGGTTCTTGCTGTACCATGTGAAGTGTCTCAAAATTAAAGTACTAGCATGTAACATGTGTCAGAAATAAAGATAAGTATTTGTTTTATGTGTAAGCTTTAGCGTGATGCAAGTAAAGTGTGTGTGTGAATAAAGTTGTAGGATTCTTATCCTTCTGACCAACTATTGTAAAATAATGTAAAGTGGTGTTACTATTTGTTACTTAGTGGTCAAGTTTGTAATAATTGTTATGTAAAGCTTTGCAATGCGTATTATGTAAGCTGTCTATAAATAGAATAATTTGAGGTTTTTTTGATCATCTAAATCTCATATGATAGTTGATTATCCTATCCTAACTTCGGAGATCCCATCTCCATGCCTTATATAACATCTCTTTAATAATATCATGTTTTTCCATTTGTGTTTAAGCTTTTGTCATGCTAGTATACCTCCTTTGTAGTTGTAACCTTGGTATCAGAGCTATAACTAAATAAGCTTAGTTTTACCAGCCTTTATGGTTGCTTAAGTCGTTTCCTTCTTTCAATTTCCTCTACCAGTTTGTAGTGCCATGTTCATCTCATAAACTTGACTTTTGGAAGAGTATACTTGTGGTTGCCTTGAAGAAGGATCCTCAATATCAGAAACTCCTAAATTTAGAGGTTTTGACAAGATATCTCATGGTAGTCTTTGTATAGAAATAGTAAGCTAGTACCTTGAGGTTTATTGATCGTTACAGTGCTTCGGTTGAATGCTTAAGTTTAATGAAAATGCCACTTATGAGATATATTCTTTGTTTGTCATTATATGGAGATGATATTGGGATCAATGAATCGGGAAAAAGGATATAGAAGGACAACGGACATAAAATATGAATTCAACTTAAGTTCATTTTATTCTAGTTCATCGTTATTCCTCTTATCCTCATCTCACCCTCAAAGAAAAACTTCAGAAAAAGTAGAATATCCATATGAAGTTGAGTACCTAGATGGAGATGGCAAAGTACAAATCACTGGTTCTCTATCCTAAACCCATATGATGCTTTCACAAGACTGTCACTAGGGTGATTGACTATGATCATTATGACCTCCATTGACTCTATTTATGGACGACCTAGACCTAAAGCTTACATTAAGTAAGGAACATTAACACCAGTTTACTTAATTCTATAGTAGCTTGTCAGAAGGATATCAGGTTTATTCACACATACTTTACGGGTATCACACTAATGCTTACACATGGCACAAATACTTAGCTTCGAACACATATCACATGCTAATAATTTACAAGACACTTCACATGGTTCTCTTTGCTATATGAAAGTTAGACTAGCTATTAGAGGAATAAGCCATTTCTCTCTTTATATAGGAAACTTCAGCAGGAAAAGTCAATTGCAAAAAACTCTCAAAGAAGAGAGATTTTCTTTTCTTTGTAAGAAGACTCAGCTAAAAGTTCTCCAAGTTAATAATTGAAACATATATAAATGAAGGAATCTTATAGAAGAATAACTTTTCAGATATTTTACATGTAACTTTGTGTAAGAACAGGTTCTGACACTGTAAATACAAGTACTGTCTTACTGAAAATGTTAGCTTTTCCTTTCATTATATATGTCTTAAGCAAGTAGGAAATTTTGAATTAGATAAAATTATCATCTTTTATGAGATAAGTAGCCAGTGATGCTCAATGATGAGATAGATACCTAAGGTTGTAAAATCTTTGAGGATAAACGAATAAGTAGACGCTGGAAGAATTTCATCTTCTGTGATGAAAATAGGAGCATAAATGCCTATAATGTTGGCTTGACCTTTCATAGTGGAAATAGAATAAAATGTCCTTAATAAAAACGTTTACTGTTTGCTCTTGATTCGAAATTTCAACTGCAGTGTCCAAGAAGATACTCTTGCTTTCTCTCGAACCGTAGTACTATTACTTAAATGAGTGAACCATTTTTTTCTCTTGTTTCTCTTGAAATCTATGCAATGTTCATCTCTTTCGGAAGAATCTTGATCCCATCTGACTTGTCAAATAGTAAGAATGAATGGTTGAGATTATATTTTGAATTATATTTTTACATGTCATTCGTCGAATATAACATCATTCAAATAATTGACTTTTTCTAGAACTATATATTTGCACAATTTCAGTCGAATATAAAATTATTCAAAAGTCCAATTCAATCATGCCATTATGGCACTAAGCCCTCATTTGGCCCCCATTAATTTCGTTTTATTACATTTCGTTTTTCTCTCAACAATTTTCAACCACACAAACTTCCATAAAATAATAAAAAAAAAAAAAATTCCTTCCTTTTCAACTACTAATTTTTCAAAAAAAAAATTATTCTACCCATTTTCATTTCCACAAAATGGGGGCCAAACGGGGGCTAAAATGATTTTGGCTGCAGATTCCATTGAATGAAATTGTCATTCTTTGTGGGACGTTTGCATGAACATCATCTAAGTTAGCATCCTTCTAAGAAAGTTACTTCATTTCAAATATGTATTTTGTCCTTCAGTTGTATAACTCCAGTGAATGAAATAAAATATTTCCCTCTCCACTAGCGCCTCATTCTTTAGAAATTTGAATATTATGGAAGTTTAATCGGCACTTAATGAAATTCATTAGCAATTTTCAACGGGTGTCTTATAATAAAATTCAAGATCTATAATTCACAAATCTAATGAATTCAGCTCATATGAACTGACCACCTTAAAAGGACCTTCAAGTTGTTAAAGTGGTGTTTTTCTAATTAAAGTTTCTGTGAAATTTCATGTTAAATACCCAATCTTTATTAGTTTTTAACCATTGATGTGCAGAAACAAGCCGCAGAATATATGGAAAAGCTTCGTGGAGCTATGCTAAAGTACATAACTGTTTGACGCATGTAAAAATATAACGTCCACTTGGTAAATGTTACTTACATTTTCATCCTTGTGCCTTGTTATTGATATTATGATTTTCATTTTGAGGAGTTACTGGATTTCTTAATTGTCATAGCAGAAAAGTTTTGGTTGTATCGCAAATAACAGGAATATAACAGTTTCATAATTTTCCTTCTATAGTTTTCTGAATGATAGAAATACAACGCAAAGCATGCTGTGGTAATCTAAATCTGCAGTAACTTTTTGGCGAGAATTTTCTTTCGTGTAGAAATCAATGGAACTGGAAGTTTCCTTACATAGTAAATTATTGTTTAGGACTGGAAGAACTTATACATTGCATGTTTGGTCGGAGTATAGTATAGATTTGGTACTAAGGAAAAAAGAAACTAAAATCTTAATTATTATTCCATCGAATCCTATGTAATACTATGTAACAAATATGCCCCCCGGGTTCAGTGGTGCAAAGGACGGGAGTGAGGTTGTCTCATGCCTTACTAACAGTCGCAGTGTGGGGGTTCGATTTCTGAAACATGGAATTGGACTCTTTGTAGGTGCAGTGTACAGACAGCTCTTGTTTCCTGGCCTGTTGGGACACATCCCGCGATTTACCTTCCTCACAAAACTCTAAGGACGGGGCGGTGGGGACCCTCAAAGTTGGGTTCAACCATTTTTTTTTTTAAATGTAACAAATATGCTCTACTGGTAACATTGAACTCACCAGTTACCAGAATGTTAGTACACAGTGATTTT